TTTAGGTTTCATTGATACTTTCTGACTGTTTTTTTATCTGATTTATTCAGCTCTGTAACTCACAATCTACCCAATGAAGGGCCCTTCAAAATAAAAGCACAATTTTAGCAATGCAGGAAATAAAGCATCCTTAACAAGACACAGAAATCAAAATCTAAATAAAGTGAGACAAACATCTGTTTCATGAGTCATCTGATGCAATTATCTTCTTTATATAAGTTTGAGGTACAGGGCAGGTGATGTGGGTGGATCATGAATTTGAACATCACTAAGAATGAATGATCTGTGATTTTATTGTGCTAATTTGTAAAGTTTATGACGTATGTGTTGTCTTGTCTTGTTGTGTTGTTGTATTATTAGGTTTTCCTCAGATATTACAATAAATATTTTTTACAGTTATATTCTATGTCTTTATTAACCTTGAGATGAAAATTTGATATTTTGACAGCCGTACTTAGCACAACATCAGCTTTTGAGATAATGGACCCGAAACCTGTTTTTTTTTTTTTCTGTTTCATCTCATGTCTTAACTTCTTCTGATCTTGCTAAACAATAATGGTCCATGTACTATCCGTCAATTCAATTATTCCATTTAATCTAGTAAACGAAAAAAAAAAAGAGTCAATATTTTGTTTATTTGTTTTTCTGTATAACCAAAAAATAAAATATTAGTGTTTGTTTTTATATTTTCAGTTCCAAACAGAATATATAATAGAGATGGAAACGAAAACAAAATATTAAATCTACTTTTGGTTTTCGGGTTATTGATGTCCCCATTTCCCACAGTGCCTTTCTACTGTTGGCAACCTGCTGTATTACGCATCCTACGTATCATTCAAAGCCACCAGGAGGGTCACGCTGAAGGAGGAAGATATGACTGTAGAAAACATTACAACCAGAGCTCTGTTATAACATAAGATTTTGGTGCTTGAGCCGTTCTGTCACATCTTTCGCCATGGTAACTGTCACTGAGGATCATGGGAAGGCCAATGTAGCCTCAAAACAGGCGCACTCAAAATCAGTAATTGTAAATAAGATTTATTATTTCATTTTCATTTCTGCTATTATATATTCTGTTTTTTAGCTGAAAATGCGAAAACCAACACTTAAAAAATTTTTTTGGGTTATACAGAAAAACAAATAAACAAAATATTGACCTGTTTTTTTTTCATTTTTCGTTTACTAGATTGAATGGAATAATTGAATGGACGGATAATACATAGCCTGATAATGATAATTCAATAGAGTTACTGAAAATGTTTCTCTTAACACCATTTAGGCCAAACCCAATCTGTGTCGGGTTTCCCTTTGTTTCCAGGTCCTGTTCAGGTGTTTGATCCTTTTGTTGCAGTCCATTCTTTCCTTGGAAAGAAAAGGGCAAACTCTTCATGTATGTGCTCATGTACTGTATATGTGTGTGTGTACATGTAAGCCAGCAGGGGGTCTGTTTGATCACACTCAGCGGAGGTGCGAGGTCAGAGTGAGCGGATGAGGAGCAGACACGCTCACAAACACAAACACACACACATAAAAGAGAGGGTTAGATAAAGGGCAGACTGCATGAGGAAACACATGGCATCATGAGAAGGCAGGTAGTGACTGTAATATAAACGTAGACCAAGACTCGAGAGTGTCCAAGAAAGAGAAGCCAAGCAGGCTGGAGACAAAGGAGGAGATGGAGAGGTCAGTGGATCTGAGGGAGGTCTTTCTGAGACGAGTTTACCCAGCTGGAGGACCAAGAGACCCAGACAGAGCCCTGATGTCACCTACAGCACCCTGCCCTCCCAATTCCCCGACTTCCTGTCCCCGCCGGAGTGATGTCACAGGCCAGCTGGGGATGTCACGTCCACAGCCCCGCCCCATCCCCTCTATCCGTCGCGTCTCACAACTCTGCTTCAATCACTGGCGTCCCACTGTGACCCGGGACAGTGAATGCAGCACGTATCAAAACACAGACAGCGAGGCAATCGAGCACAAACTTGATGCAGATAGAATCCTTGTGTAATTTAGACAGAGCGGCAAAATGAAACGCTAATAAATACAACAACAAAACCAGCCGTGTGATCTGTAACACAGTCTAATTGGTTTATTGTGTTATGTGATTCACTTATTTCCATACTGAGGAAAAGAGGGAAATAACTCAAACCCCGAGGAGAGCAGCTCGCTAAATCTGAAACATGACTCGAGTGGTTGCACCGGATCCAATGACCTCACCAACCCCTGCTCTGAAAACTCTTCACCTCAACGTGAGCCACTGATCCAAACCAGCCATGACTGCTGATTTGATTATGATTGCTCACAAAAACAGGTGTAGAGCAAGTGAACCGGAGTGGGGAAGTGAAGCTGTGTGTGCTAATATCAGTTATCACCAATCATAACTCCTTTCTGGCCCATAAATCACCTGAAAGACTTTTGTTAAATACTCAAATTTCAGACCTGGTCATTATGAACAGCATTCAGCCCTGTCTTTAAAGCAGGATCACTACTGGGAGGAAGTGAAGTGACAGATTTATAGCCGAGTGTGATCATAAAGAGCTCTATAGCGTGTTCAGCCTCTTTGGGCCACCTCACACTAATGAAAGAGCTAATGAAATCCCATACAAGCAGAGTTCCTGCTACAGAGAGAAGGGAAGGACAGTATGCTCTCTTATACGACCATATTCACACATCTGCTGTAAACTAATACTTGAGGCTGATATCAGGATATTATCCATATAGCTACAGCAGTGGTCGTGATATGATGATATATGTGATACGACTTAGGATCTATGTTACGACGGAGTATTGGGGCCACATTATGAAAAAAAAATTAAGATTTAGAGATTAAAGTAGTTAATTTACGAGAATAAAGTCATTACTAACGAGAATAAAGTCATAATAAAGTAATCACTTATCAGAGGAAAGTCAGAATACAGTCCCGATATTTGTCTGGTGATACATTGTATCATCTCATTTACCAAGTATTGATTTTTTTTTAAATTAATTGCTAATATGAAGTCAAATCTATGACATTGGAAAAATAAAATCAACTGTTTGTCCAGTGAGGTTGGCAGAGGTGATCATAGAGCAGGAGAAAGTTAGTACAAAAAATAAGGTTTGCAAGCTGTGCTACATAAAAATAAAATACAACATAAATAAGACAAACATAAAGGAAAGACAAATGCTAAATTAGCCAAACAGCTGAAAAAAAAGGTATAAATTGCAATATATTGTAATACTCACTCAATACTCGCAATACTCACTGTATTGCAAAATGTAAAAAATCGCAATAATATCGTATCCTGGCCCAAGTATCGTGATAATGTCGTATTGTGGAAACACTAGTGATTCCCACTTCTATTTGTTAATACTCTGGATGCAGCATTTTATATACTATATACTATTATAGTGAGCGGCGGTACTCAGGGGAGAGGAAAGACAAGTGCAGTGGTCAGTATAGGATGAGATTAGGGTGTGTTTAAGCGCACTGCTTTAACACTCGGGAGTAACATTTTCTCCAGAAATGTCACAAAATGACAAAGAAAAATGCTCAAAAGTGAATGTAATGACTGAAAACCGGGCTGCGCCATTCCTGAGGATTTTATTTGGAAAAATTTGACTTTGGGTCACGAATTTGAATACCTCAGGGAGGGGCTGGTCCCCTTTAGTAAACATGGTAAACACAACCCTGTTTAAAAGGCATCTTAAGATTTTCATTTCTTCATATAAGGACAACAAAGCGGGTTTTTACATTTGTTCGTGACGAATTACGTTTTATGAAACTGTTGTAGAACATTTGTCTGATTTCTTGAAAGATAGTAAAGGTGGACCAAATGTGTTTGAGATGCATGTTTGATTTTTAAACACACAATCAATGACTAACCTGGTCTGTTAAATCAATATTTCTCTATTCCATTTTTTTAAACTTTCTCTCATTCACATTCTCGACTCATTCACAAATATCATGAGAGGAAAATTCTCCCTCATTCATATTCCTGCTTTCACATGTTGTAGCGCAGATTTCCTTTTAATCGTCGAGGGAGAGAGAGAGAGAGAGAAGAGGGAAGAGACAGAGAAGAGGTCTGTGCCCCCCACCCACACACACAGTTACGTGCCGGCCGACAGGACCCCCCTTGTGGAAACTGAACACCATACTCTTCCTCCCTTTAGGCATCCCCTCTACCCTGCCCTGAACCCACCCTGTCCCCTGCTGGCCACTGTCCTTAACCAAACACACACACACACACACACACACTTAAAGTACCCGACTTTCTCACACACCCGCGCTAACCCGCTCACACTGTACAAACACTCTCTGAACTTTAATATTGGATTATGTTTCAGTGATGCACACACACTCACACACACACGCATGCACAGGATCCTTCTGCAAACACACACATCCTCTCACTTTCTTTGATGGATGAGGAAATGCTCACACAAACACATAAACAAGACCTCCATCCTCGACCACATTACATCTGTGTGCTTTTCCTCCAGCTTCAGCTGAGTCTACCAGGACCTGACGTTTTCTGGACACTCCTCCTCTCCTCTCTTCTCCCTCTCTCTCTCTCTCTTTTTCTCGGCTCAGGCCCTACCTGATTGTCTGCTTGTTTTCCCTGGCGGCTCCCAGCTTCCGTTCCCAGGCTGAGAGGTTGGAGGTGGGAGCGAGGCCTACGACACATACTTTCCACCCTTTAAGGCTGAGGGCCAGCGGCGGTTCCTCCTGTCCATAGGCTCTGCAGGAAACACTTAAGCCACGCTGCTGCCCACCAGCTCCGACTGCTGCTCTGGTTCAAGCCTGTGAAGAGACAGAGGGGAAAGATGAGATAAGTGAACGATACAGGTGGAGAAAAGTGTGGGTTGCGACAATCTGATTGTTTTCTATATCCGAACACTTCGACAAGTTAAGAGCTAATCCAAAAATACAGGTGACCCTGTCGACACCTGCAGGGCAGTCACTCTTAACACTTCTCTTTGTCTGGTTTTATTTCATGGTGTTCGATTCTGTTTGGTCCAAGCTCACAGAAACACAGACTAACTCTCAACAAAATGACACATGGTACAACCTCAGGTCATGCAAAATTCCATGAAGAAGGAGTCTGGCACATGAAAGTTACTGGGAACAGATATGAGACCAGACAGAGAAGCCAGCAGGCTCTGACCAGATCTGATAAGGACGAGTTGAGCAAGATCCTGTCCTGCAATCCAGGCACAGCAGCAGCAGCAGCAAGACTGGTGAGTGCATCTGACCATCATAAAGTAAGTGAAACCATAGTGATGAGTGTAACAATGTTAACAGCTGTCTTATTTCTGTTTAAAGGTGTGCCAAGTGTATTGCACAGAGAAGGAGAGTTGAATGAGGACATGATGGAAACATAAACGTTCCTGCAGAGGATCAGATCTCCTCGTCTGATATGACCTTCAACAGAAAGGTTCACACTGTCAGAAGTTCACCCTTTCAGCATGCATTATCCCCTATTATTTCATTATCACTAAATGCATTGGTAAAATGGATGGAAAAGTCGACACTTTTGCAGATATTCAGCCTTGAATTTAATAATAATAATGCATCAGATTTCATATCAAGACCCTCAATTTCATGCATCCTTCATTCGCTCACACAATCACACCTTGGTGGTGATAAAATACCTTAGTAGTCACCGCTGCCCTGGGGCAGACTGACGGAAACGTCGACCACACAACCGCACAGCACTCACAATTATACACCAGTGGAGGACACACAATGGGAGCAAGGTGGGTTAAGTGTCTTGCCCAAGGACACAACGGACAGACTCAGGATAGGGGGGAATCGAACCGCCAACCTTTCAGTTATTGGATGACCATTCTAACTTCTGAGCTACCTGCTACTGAGCTAAATTTGTATATTTAAGCATGTTGGAGGGGCGGGGCCGGGTTTCCCCCTGGAGCCAAGTGCCACTTTCCTCCAGAAACTGAGCGTTATTTTAAAAAAAGATATTATAATTTCTCTTGAGGAGCGAATACACGTTGTATGAATGACAACCAGCTGAGAAAAGAAGGACTTAATTAAAGACTCACTCTGACGAAAATCATGTTTTTCTTGTTGTCTACATGTTCGTAAATCATTTTTCTAATGCTACAGGACATATCATGAGAAAATTAAGTGCAAAATTGTATTTCTGAGTGTTTCTGCATTCAAATCGCTGTGAATCTCTGACAGACCCAAATAGCAGGTTCAGATACAGTGAGATTTCCTGTGTCACAAATCCAGGCTCCGCCCCTGGAGCCCTCCTATGCAAGCCAGGCTCAGAGAAATAGAGATGACGATCCCGAGACAAGCGTGTGCATTAGTGGATTGCAATACTTGGAAAAAAGCTAATTATGATATTATCTTTCATCATTTCCTCAAAGTCATTAATGTTCCAAACCTGCTACTGCTACTACACCAGCAATGTTAGGCTGCAAGCTAGCATGGATAAAAGTGTGCAGAGCAGCGCTGCCTCCGTGTACGACTCAGAGGCGAATTGCTAATGAGCTACAGGAGCTCTGCAAGAGAAAAGCCCTTGAAAATGACACAGGTAATGTGATTTTGGCTAAAAACTTAATAATCACAATTTAAAGACCACTGGTAACACTTAAAGTAGTACAAAAAATGATCGGAGTGGGACTTTAAGCATGTTGTTAAAGAAAGATAATATATTTCTCCTGAGGAGCAAACTTAACCATCTGAGAAAAGAAGGATGGTCTTCAAGTTTGCACCAGTTCGAGTTGTTGTTGCTGATGACCTTGGAGAAACGGTTATATCACTTATTTAATTGAGGATAGAGCTGATTGACTTTTTTTTGCTGTACACTGATAACAAGAGCACGGCATCCCTACCCTCTTTAGATCTGGGGATGCAGCGTCCATGATTTCCAAGATGAATGTTCAATTTGCCACTTTTGACGAAAAGCAGCAGCAAGAAAAGATAGGACATGGGTAGAAAACGTCACACTTATATCATCGGTATGAAGGAGTTAACTGTCGTTATAAAGCCACACCTGCCCGTCTTTATTCCCCACCTTGAACCAGTGGGAAACTTCCTGCTTGTCGAGGCTCTTCTTGGAGTTAGCATGGCCCCTGTGATTAGCACAAATGACTCTCATTATGTGGTAATGCTGTAATTACATGACCCAGAGTGCTGCCCCGCTGTGGTGCGCTACAACTTCTATCACTGTAACTGGCTGCGCTCGCACACCCACCACTCTGTGAAAGTTGTAACTCATTTGTAGAGATATAACTCTTCCCTTTGGTTGTTTTCCTCTGAGCTATTTCATGCTGGATTTAGTTTTTTAATGTTTGAGGTTAGGCCATTTTATCCCTGCTGGGGGTCTGATGTAGTCAGACATTGAAGTGAAAACAAACAATAACTGAGTCATTCATAAGTTCTGTTTTATATGAACTGAGTACTTTGGTAATCCACCCAGATCACTTAATGGTAATTTGGTACCCATTTCCTCGTCCAACAAGCTTTCATGTAGGCCCAGTAATCATCTGCGGGGAGCTTGAACTGTACGTTAAACCACGAAAGTCTAAAACCAGCTGCACAGGCCAATAAAACAACGGGTAAGGATGTGTTATTAGACATTAGGACTTCTTTACCAGGCGCTGGGTACAAGAGCTGCGCCGAAGAAAAAGCAGATTCCTAACGAAATCTGAGTGCTGCTTGGCCTCAGAGTTTCTGATCTTTTTTTGTAGTGGTGAGTTTGGAGGAAACGCAGACACTTACTGATTCTTGCAGACTCTGCTTAAAAGCAAGAGTGGCTTTTGTAAAACATGGGTCAGTAATAACACACTTCAGGGCTGAATGATATCATTTGGCATTGGAACTGAAATTCTGAGTAGCAAATCAACGAGGAGATCTTGGCAACTGACTCTTAAGTTTCTCTGCAAGAGGGGGATTAACCGCAGATAAATTGTAAACCACATATGAATTTAAAGATGAGAGGAAAACTAAAGGTTGTGAGTGTGAGATCTGATAAATGGGTATTACGCTTAAAGAGAAAAGATAGCACTCTTCATGTGACACAGTCGGGCTGATAGAGGCAGGACAGAGGTGCAGCAAATAAACAGCTGGGACGCTTCCGCTCTGCACTTATGCTCCTTTAATAAACAAGCATTACAACACAGTGGAAGTGATAGGCTGGATATGTTTGGCTCTTGAAATCTCTGGGAGGGTTTGGGAAGATTGTAACATTAGTTTGTCTAATCTGTCATTAAAAATAAAACGGTCTGTAGACGATACATGTGAAACTTGTATTTTATGTGATAATTTATGGTGTCCTCAGCTGGTATATTGGTATTTTTCTGCTATAGAAATGATGTGGAAAAGAAGAAGACTGATTTTAGAATAGATTTTAAGGTTGCTTTATTGGTTTTTAAAGCTCTTATGGCTTTGGCCCTTCTTATCTATATGATCTGCTTTTACCTTATGAGCCAGGTCGAGCTCTCAGGTCTTCAGGTAGTTCTCTGTTAACAGTACCTAAAGTTAAAACCAAGACATAGAGTGAGGCATCTTTTTATTACTATGGTCCCCGTCTATGGAACAGCTTACCTGAAGATCTGAGGACTGTGCCTAATCTTAATGATTTTAAAACCGAACTCAAAACATACCATTTTAGTCTTACTTTTAACTAAATTTTATATCATTAACTCTGTTTAAGTGTCTTAGCATTTATCTCTTTCTAGTTTTAATGACAGGATAATCTTTTATTGAGCTATTTTGGTGCTTTTATTTTAGTATCTTTTACTGTTGTTTTTATTTCATTTAATTTATTAATTTCATTTTATGTTACTTAGATTTTAATCTAACATCCAGTGTTTCCTTATCTTTAGTTTTAAAATGACATTTCCTCAGTGCGCACATTCCTGTTTCCATGAAATCAAGCCCTTTTTAAAGTTAATGCATTTTAATACGGTTTCTGTTGCGAGGAGTGGAAATTAGGGGTTGGGTTTCGGGTAGATTTGGGTATTCTTTGTTTCTTTTATTCCTTTTACTGTGTAAAGCACTTTGTGCTACATGTTTGTCTATAAAGACTGATTGATTGTAGTTGATCATTTTTAATTTAGTTTATGAATGACTGAAAATGCAACTTCTCTAAACTGCTAAAGTTGAAATAAAAATATTAACGATAACCATTTGCTTGATTTTGGTGTGATTTTGGAAACCATAATAATCCAGACACTTGAACATAATGCTACAAATATAATAATGATAATAATAACTGGTAATGCTTTACACCTGAATTGCTCCAATCATAGCGGATCAGGAAGCTGCTTTATATAACCTTAAACATATCCCTGCATTAAAACTTAAAAGGGAGTAAATGGAAAGAAAAAAAGAAAAAAAAAAGAAAACACGGGCAGTGAGTATTTAAAAATGTCATCACTGAACATAATCCAGGATTTTACAGACTCATCCAGTCTGAATGTTTAGTCTGGTAAGTGGGATGCTTTCACTCTTTGACACTCGGGGCTCCTCCAAAGAGCTTCAGCCTCACCTCTCGAGTTCTTACATGTACCCCAGAAAACCAAAGAAGCAGGTCTACATATCTCCAGGTCATAACTCCAATGTAAACTCAGTCTTTTGGTTTACATTTAGCTACTGTGACATCTCTTTTTTCTCCTCTCGGGTTTGTAAACGACTCCACGTTTGCTGTCTTTGAATCCTGATATGGACTGAGAAACGTTCTCCTTGGATCGTACCGCTGACTGGGACCTCCAGCTCTCCAACCTGACCATGGAGTTTGTTCCCTGCTTGTGCTCCAACACATTTTGAAATGTGCTGGTTTAACTTTGAGAAAACTAGAATAGACGAGAGGTGTTTCTCCCACGATAAAGAGCATGTAAATCTTCCCTTGGTGTAAGAGTTTGGACTAAATTGAGGGCATTGGTGTTAATATTTTAGAGTTTGAAATGAAAAGGTACCTGCAGGAACCACACTCAAAGAGCGTCACGTTGCAGGGCAAAAAAGGGACCGTGTCTGGAAGCAAAATCAGGTTTAGTTGATACTGATTCAAAGCTCGGTCTGGTCTCTCGCTTTCTCTATTATTAGAGGGCGTGAGTGAGTGGACTAATCCTGATTGAATTACTCCGTAAACTCAGTGGCTGGGTATCCAGAGCTGAGACAGTGTCCTCTGTGTACCCTCCTCTCAGAGCAGGAAGCTGCCAGCCTCTCTGAGATTAAGCCTGTTTCCTCTCTCCTCGGTGCACTCCCTACGACCCCGTAGCCCTGTGACCTTCCTCCTCGCACGTATGGCATACACACCATCAGCTGTGGAGCGTGCCAGCTGGCTTGTGACAAACACACACACACTCTCACATACACACAAACAAGTCACTAAATCATCCCTCAGAAATGACACTGGAGTTCAATTGGAAAACAATATGGCCTT